TTTCTGATCTCAATGCCACTTAATTAGATTACGAATCAACTAAATTGATTCGAAACATATATTCACTGACAACTAAATTGATTCGAAACATATATTCACTGACAGCAAAATTACATTGAAATTGATTTGTTACGTTAATAAATACCGCATAGCGTGGACTAAAGGACCCACTAGTATAATACCTGACACAATTTTTAGAGGTCTATAATGTATATTAAATCGATAGTTATAATTGAAAGTTCAATAACAGTTTTTCCCTCGGCGACACTTATATAGTGCAACTTATATCCCCTACACCAGTGTCTGAAATTGGGTTGCGGAGCTTGCGGACCGCAAATGATTTATAAGTTTTCGCAACTAAAATCCGAAATGTATATGCCGGTTCCGCAAATAAATTTGTGAATTTGCATATAGATTTGTTCGAATTTGCATATAAATACATTCATATGCGCAACTAAATCCATAGAATCCGCAAGTAAAGTTTTTTATTTAGTTGCAGCCCGCAACTAAATTAAAATTGAATTTCAGACACTGCCCTACACTAACTATAACATTTTTCTAACTATAATACCTATATATACGGATTTTTTAGTCCACGCTATACAGCAGTAGAATTTGACCAGTTAACCGTAGCGTAAGTTATCGTTGTATAACTTGTTCTGCCTGAAAGCCATTTTGACGTACGTACTATACGTATATTTTTAATACGTTCTAAAAATAACAATAGATCAGGAGCGAAAATTAACGTTATGAAATTCAGAAGCCATCGTCAGGACAGAGTTTAGTTAGTATCAGTACATTTTGCCTAATTTGATGTTCAGTTACTTAACGTTAACGCCAAATACCGACTAATCACCCCGCATTTTTCCAATTGTATAACGTGTGCTACCAAATAATACTAACAGATTTTTTATAAATAAAGACTAGTAAAATTGTTTTCTGTTCATATGCTTTACCTTAGACATGAAGAAATGCATTCAGTTATTCAAGAAGAGGAAGCAGTCTTGGTAACAAATTGATTATATTTTGTTCAATACCTGGTTATATATTTTTTATTGACATATGTGTATTTTGTTTTATTTTGCAATAGAAGAAAGAATTAGAATGGTTATTGAATTCTCAATTGCCAGATGCGATTTATAATTTAAAAAAAGCATTAAAAGTAATCATTGCAACTATTTATCCATACTTGAATCCGCCTTTAAGAGTCGTGGATAAAGGATTGATATTTTGTTTATGACATATAGAAATGTGAAGCGATTATGAAATCTCCGGAACATGATGGTAATTATCATTTCTGTGTGTTTTAAGAATCATTTACTATGCGTATTAATGGTTTTATTTTTTTTAGATACTTTGGGGACAAGTACATTGGCCATCTCGTCTAATAAGTATTTAATTGTCCTAAATTACTGAAAATGTTATTGAAAATGAAAATTTTTGAAAAATAAAAACTCTTGAATTTAACGTCCTTGTTCTCTATTTCACTAGTAGCGATGTATTAAAAGGCTTTGTCACATTAGATGGAAGTGATATTATAAAAGGGGTATCGTATTCTATTTGTAAACGTTATTTCGCATTCATTAACGCTAATATATATGAAATAAATAATAGGAATTGCAAGTAAAATTCCCCAATTATAATCGTGGAAATTTGATAAAATTAGCTGTTAATACAAAAAAACCTTATTTCATTGAACAGGTTAGTTGTTAAATGTCTATCTGTGTTATATTTTAATTTTACATTTTAATGAAAATTTTGTATTTATCATTATAATTCAAAGCTGATTGATGCACAGAATTACGTCACATTATCTTTAGACGCATTAGAATGTTCAAATAATTTAAATACAAAAGAAAAATCTTATGACGTAAATTTCATGATTTATAATTCGTTTATATGATGTCCAAAAAATTAATTTCAATATTACAATGATACATTCTCATAAGTTATTGGATACGGTTCTCAAATATATATCTAATGCTCGATATATCCTTACTTGTGCAAGCGAAGAAAAATTGTTTCCTTATAAAATCTGTGATCCTCAGGTAACCTAAAAATATGTTCTGGTACTTTTTGCAATTAATTAATGAATTTATTATTATATAGATGTTTAGCTCTAAATTACCTGAAGACTTAGTGGTTCAATTTCATGTTGAAGGTTCATGTATAGTTGTTTCTGTATATGCACTTCAATATCATTCTTCGGCACCACAGCAAAAGCATGGAAATATTTTAGGATCTTCCAAAAGCACTTTGAAAGTTTGGTATCCTTTTTATTAGTGCAATTTTGTAATTTATTTCGAATTTCTCGCTTATGATTCTTAATCAGTCAAATAACTATTAGCCAATACAAAGATAAATATGCTTCAGTATTGAATGAAATTGTGGTGAAATCATTGGATCCCAAGTTAGAAAAAGTTATGGAATGTTTAAAGAAATTAGAAAGCGATTGTTCTGCATGGAAAAAACAAGATTGCTGTATTTTAAATTAAAATTAGATGTTATCTGTTATTCTAAATCTCTGTTCACAAAGAAGTTAATTTGCTAGTTATATTTAGTGTATAGTCGTTAATTTGAAGTTTCGAACAAATCATTGGCATAGGACCATTCAATAACTGTATTCTAAATCTAAAAAAAAATAAACTAAATTGTTTTGAGTTGTTCAGTTTTTGCATGTATATAAATTTTAACTTGTTTTAAAAAGGTCCACCTGAAACCAATGTTTTCAAAAGCTAACTTTAGACCGCCATTTCCTTCATTTCAGCTGTTTTCTACTCGAAATCAAATTTGAATGGCATAAACATAATTATCTAATGATTAACTAATTATTTTCGCCATACTTTGACTAACTAGACTTTCCACTTTTCTCTAGCATGTTACCAACTTGCCTTTCATCATATGATCTTATTTAATTTAATTCTGGCTAAATGTATCATATATAAGTGTTTAAGTGATTCTTCGAATTAGTTTGAGTTTTCTTTATCTTAAAAGGGTATTTTGTAAAGAAAAAACTATACTTAACAGCTACATACTGACATAAGTTAATTAAATATAATTACCGTATTTTCTCGAAATAATGCCCATCTCGCGAGACAAAGATTGATTATTTAATAATCCTTCTTTTCCAAGTTATGACTATGTGCGCTATTTCGAGACCAAGATTGATTTTTAATAAACTCTGCTTTTCCAAGTAATGACTATGTACGTTATATGGGGAATGTCTAGGAAAATCTGCCTTTGGCACTTTTGGTCGATTTTAAGATTTTTAAAATATTGGTTATTTATATGAAGTACAATTTTATTTTATATTAATAAAATATTGTGATTTTTAGATTTGAAAATTCAATTCTTCGAAGACATAGCGCCCTAAAAATAGAATAACAATCAATGGTAATTAACGCGCAGGTGGGCGTTATTCCGAGTTTGTACGGTAACAATTTTGCATTGAAGAGGGAATATACACGTATATGTATGTGTTTTTTGTAAACAATGTGAATTATGCATTTTGTTATGAAAATATATATATATATCTAAAGGAATTCTGTATGATTATATAGTGAAACTATGTAATGACTTTGTGATATTCTGTATTGTATATACAAAACAAAATTATTGTCATGATTTAGTTGTTACTTGAATCATTAAATTAGTTCTAAATATTTTCTTGCTGACAAATAGTTGTCTATAGATACTGATTATTCTACATTATTCAAATCAATCTTATGATTTGATTTAACATTAATTGTCTTTTTACTCTGCGTGTTATCTGTTATATTGGCCTATCATGCATTGGGTTTCTTCAAGATGTTCCAAAGCATGATTGTTGTTTGATTCAATTTCTAGTAACTTGGTGAAATCTGTAAGTGATTTTTCATATTTGCTCATTAAACGGTAAGTTATTCTACATTGTTCCAATGTAAGCATATTATTTTGCATAATACAGTATTTAATATTTTGGCTAAATCTGAAAGTAATTCGTCATGTATGCCCATTTTATGGTAAGTTGTTCAAAGTAAATTTATAATCTGGTATAATATTCTGTATTTCAGTTAAATATAAAATTGATTCTTCATACTGTATTTGTCCATTTTATGGTGCATTATTCCACGTTACTTTAATGTAAACTTATCATTTGGCTCTATATTTAATGCTTTAGTTAAGTCTGCAAGTGATTCATACTTGTTATTGTATGGGCATTTATGACCAGCATCATTTGGTTCAATTTCTAATGATTTAAAGTGATTCATTATAAACATCTCTACGAGTTCTTAATTTAGATGTCTATTTCAATGGCTTACTCACATTCATTCATCATGCAATAACTATATCCATTAATTCTTGTGCGTATTATTTTGATCTTAAAGAGACACTTTATAGCTTGCCATCATATATGATGCCACGAACTTCTAGTACCCTAGTTAAATTGCAAGCGATTCTACGCAAAAGTCTGGGGTTCTCGCAATTTTTTTGCTTTCAAATTTACCACGGACTTTATAATACTAAGTTATATTCACTCGTTATCAGGGTATTAAACGATATATAAATAGGTAGTAAAAGCTTTATTCATTTATGCTTCTGCATTATTTTTTTACGTTTATTTCTTGGATTTCAGATTCGGATTTCTTTGGTCAGGTCAAATTTACTTGGTAAAATCTAGAAAAATGTTTTCCGAAATTTTCTGTAAAAGATAAAATCTTTAGAACTCTATATATACTTGCTCAAAGCTTTTCCCACTAAGAAAGGAGAAGACGGAGAAAGGAATAATGTAACCACAAAATTGAGTTGGTCTGGCCTCTTATATCTTTTTTCTTTTTTAAATATCAAATAAAATGTTTTAACACGTTTGAACTGCCATAAAAAAAAAAAAAAAAAAATGCAAGCCTTGTGGTAAAATACTGTATATCAGAACCACCAGATTTTAGCAATAGCATTAGCGATATCGCGAACACATAATCAAATCCCATCAAAATTGGTTTATTTTATTCTACAGACGTACTATGGTTGTTGTCACAATATCGCTACGTAGTGTTATTGCGGCTCTGCTGTATATGGAAGTATTAGAACCGGTTACATATTATTTCCCCGACAGGTCATTTACCCAACATTACATGGGTGAAAATTTGAAAATAGCAACTAATATCGATATGTACGTACGTATGTACGTACGTACGTACGTAAATGTAAATTTTCATCATTATTTGATCCCAATTAATTGATTGGTGACGCAACCACATTTCAATTCAATTGATCAGGTGTAACGTAAAAACAATAATAACTGATTTTATTATTTAAGGAGGCTTCGTCGTTGGTACAGTAATGTATCCGAGAATAAGACATCCAATACGCTCCGAAAATCTGGCACATTTGGAAGAGGTTATTTACCAACTTTTATTACAACTGCCATAATTAACAATTAATTGGACTATTATTTTTTGATAATTTTAATTGATTGTAATTGTTTACACATAATAAAAGAAATTGCAAGGTAGACCTGGTCACCAGCTTAAAAAATTTCAATTCAAAAAATTTCAAGATCAGGTGTAACATAAAATCAAAAAAAAATACAACCTCCTTGATTGATGCTAGGGTCCTAGAGAAATAACCATCAGAAAATGGACGGCACCCAAGGAACCTTGGAATAAATACCAGACGTTGATCTTATATAAATTAAGGCAAATTTGATATATGGTGTGCACGCAATTAAAAAAAAACTCAGTTGATCATTCTTCAAAGCTTCCTGATTTTCAAAAAATGTCTATTACTTCTGTTATTAAGGACATTAAGGGTCGTCTTGATGGAAAAGTTGCTATTATTACTGGGGCAGGAAGGTTAGTTTATATAGCGTTATCTTAACCTATCGTTAACGAAATAATAGCGTTATCTTAACTTATCGTTAACGAATTAATTTTTTCAAATTTCATATTCACGATTATTAAGTGGTATTGGTTTTGAGTCAACCGTTTTGTTTGTGAGAGAAGGAGCCAATGTAGTTGCTGCAGACATTAATCTTCAATCTGCTGAAGCTGTGGTTGCAAGAATAAAGGAGAAATTTCCATTGAATGTTCTTAGACGTGCCGTTGCTTATAAAGTGGATGTTTCCAAGGAAGATGAAGTAAAAAAATTAATAGAGTTCACTTTGAAAGAATTTGGTATGTTATCGTGCTAGTTTTATCAATAAACCGTTTATTTACATAATTGCTATGTATCCATGATTTAATATAGGTAAACTCAATATCATGTTTAATAACGCCGGTATAATGCACCCTCATGATGATAATTGTCTTAATACTGATGAAAAAGTCTGGTAAGTATAATTTTCATTTTTTTCATTTTTTATTTTATTAAACTAATAGCATCTTCTTTTAAAAGGGATCTTACTATGAATATCAATCTCAAGGGTGTCTGGTATGGCTGCAAATGGGCTATTGAAGCGATGCGAAAGAACAAAGATTCCAAAGGCGGAAGCATAATTAATACGGCCAGTTTTGTTGGATTAATGGGTGCCGCAACTCCTCAGATAGCTTGTAAGCATAAAATCGTTAACCAATAGATATTCTCTAATAAATCTTCAAAACTTATAAATCTTAGATACTGCTTCTAAGGGTGCCGTTATTGCATTGAGGTACGACCATATCATAATTTCATAACTTTGTGATGATAAAAATTAAATTTTTTATATTATGTATATAAAAAAGTCGCGAATTGGCTGTTACTCATGCTCGAGAAAACATCCGTGTTAATTCACTATGCCCTGGACCTTTACGCACACCATTACTCATGGACTTTCTTAATACTGACGAAAAAAAAAACAGAAGACTTGTTCATGTGCCAATTGGAAGATTCGGTAATTTTACTTTTTTTTTTTTTTTTATTTCTTTTACATCAAAATCTAATAATTTTGAAATAGGTGAACCAATCGAACAAGCTCAGGCTGCCTTATTCTTGGCATCCGATGAATCATCTTATATCACGGGAACTGAGTTAAAGGTTGATGGAGGTCTTACTGCCGCATATGTGGTTGGTATACCTTATAATCACTTGTACATATGAAAATTAAGGTTTATATTAAATCACTTTTTTATATTTCTTAAGACCCCCGAAGAACCTTGCACAAGTGAGCCACCAAAGAATTATTTTAAACCTGCTTCGGAAAAGAAATAAGCATTTCGTGCATTATGTATCAAAATTTTTATGTCATTTTAAAGATATGCGCGAAATTGCAATTCTCAAATTAGTTCTAATGTAATAGATACATTACTTATAAAATTTCCATAGTTTGGATTTCCTAAGATAAAACCGCATCGTTTTTTCTAGCTATGCTAATTGTATAACTATTTATAATGTGGGCTGCCATCAATAGAAACCTTAATTTTCACTGCTCATATCTCAGCTATTTTATGATTCAATGGTCAAAAAGAAGGCTTAGATCTTAAGCTTTCTTTTGACTATTAAAATCATAAGAATAGCTTCGAAAATCATCGATATGAGCAGTGAAATTTGAGGCATTAACCTTTTTTAAAATATCAATCTACCTGATTTCTATTGACGACGGCCCATTTGTTTATTTTACCGACCGATAAATTGCTGTTGAATAATAAATTAGGATTTATCTATAGTCCAACTTAAAGGGCAATATATGACCTTCATTATCGATTATAATTGAATCTTCTTATTTGATTCTGAGTCTCAATATCTCTGAAATCTTTCTTTCGTTACGCCAAAATTTGGTGCGTCCAAATATAGTGCCCTACAAAAAGTACTTAGCAGGCCCGAACCAAGCCCAACCTACAATTAGGGATGGCAAATGATTTAAAACAGAATGTTTTAAATCAGTTTTATATTGCTTTAAAGTGATTTTTTACATGTT